GGATAACCTTAAAATGATACCAAGGCTTTTGGATACTTTATTTTCAATTTGGGAGATTTGTTTTTTCCAATTTAATGCACTGTCAAGATAAACTCCTAGGAACTTGGCAAAATCGGTATTGGGAATTTCGTGATTATCAATATAGATTTTGAAATTCGAAGGATCGAAAGTTTGTGATTTTTGGGGACTTCGAAACAGAATGAAGCTACACTTCTCGTGATTAATTGAAAGTTTGTTGGCAGCAAAGTATTGGGAAGTGGAAATTAAATTAGAGTTAACAATGTTGAATAAGGAATGGATATTTTTGTTAGAATATAGAATAGTGGTGTCATCAGCATAAAGACAAAAAAGAAAGAAGGTTGGAAGACAAGTGAACATCATTAATATATAAAAGGAACAGAAGAGGGCCCAATAGGGATCCCTGGGGGACACCACAAGTAATCTGGCGGAAGTTGGAGATAGTGTTGAGATATTTAGTGCATTGTGAACGATTAGAGAGGTAACTTCGAAAAAGATTAAAAAAAGTTTAAAGCCTGTGGCAGCATCCATGGGGTTTTAGGAGGCAATCCCCTATCCCCAACCCATTTCCCCATCCTACCAAATAGGCCCATAATCTAATACAGCTAACTGAAATTCCTCAGCACTGTAAATTTAAATACTGTATAAGTTGTTATTTACGCGAGGGTTTAATTTTCGCGAATTTCGCGAATGTAGCGCTTACCACGAATTTCACCACTTGCGAAAATGTCCACAAATTTCAAGAAGTACTGTAAACAACAAACCGAATGAAAGGGGAAACCCCGTTATAGGTCGGAAATCTCGGGTAGCACAGCTGTAGCGTGTGATGGATTACGCCGCGCCGCATTTAGCACGTTCAGCGCAGGCGTAGTTTGAGACCTGGAAAAAACAATTACTTTTGCCTACAAAAATAACTACTAAGCCCTACTCTAGTAGAGACAGTACTACTATGCCCTACTACTACTAGTACAGTGCCTAGACTTTGCCAACTTAAAAAAGGCAGCCTACGCATCGTTTTTAAGCCTTCCGTACAACAAAAAAGTTTGTGATCGTAGCTACAGTACATTAGGCCTAAAATGTAACATTTTGTTAAAATGGCATCCGCAAAAATACCAACACGCGAAAATGTCAAGAAAGTTGGAAATCGCGAAAAATTCTGTATGCGAAAATAACAACATATACAGTAAGGCAGCTGATTTGCAATAACTCGTTGACACATGACAGAAAGAAATGGAGAATTCTTGGTAGGATTAAGGGCAGCTGAGATGAAAAATTAAACAATGAACTACTCAATGAGGAAGCTAAAACAATAATCAAAATAATCATATTTCTTATACAATACAACAAAACACTTGGAATGATGAAAAACAAAAAAAAAAATGCATTATTTATAAAAAGGATAATAGACAAAGATCTATCCAACTTAAAATCATCAAACTATAAAAAAATATAGAGAATTAATCTAAAATATAGTTACCTTTTTTAATCTTTCCTGATTTCTTTGTTGCTGATTTTACCGAGCTCTGTCCAAATTTCTTCTTTTTACGGAAAATATGAACCCAGCTTTCGGGGATGGGCATGTAGATCATAATGTCACAGCAAACATTATGATTAGCCAACATTCTGTCATGGCTCCCTGAAATATATATGAAAAAAATGATTTGCTTGAGCTGTTTGACAACCAGGAATGTATAGGATGTCATAGGGCACCATGGTGTTACAACAGTTACTTTACAAATGGTACCCTGTGAGCAAGGATGGATAGGGGCAAGTCTCTTCCTGTTTCAAATGCATTACATTATGGCCCCCTTACCTGAAATTTGTCATTAAATCCCATTGGTTTCCACTGGAAAATGTCTGATGCCCTGTCACATACAACTTAGTCTCAACTTCCCCCACCCTTCCTGAATGTATATCCTGGGCCACTACATTGCTTATGTGCCCATCAATCTGTTATGCATAACTATGTATAGGATTAAATCCAACCTGTAGAATCAATGGAGTTTTGGTCGTCTGTATTAAAGCTAATGTTTAATTTAATTGGTATGAATCCTTTCCAATTCAACCTGAACATGTTTACAATGTATTAATAATAGTTAATTATAATGATACACTGGATAAGAATTACTTAAAACATCGGTATTATATTGAATTCTCTTTTGTGTACATTTGATTACAGTGGTTAAAAATTGACATTTACAATACCAGTACTGTTTGTATTTTATCTCACTCATTGTGATGGTAGAGTGGTTAGGAATTGACCTTTTAAAATGGGGAAATTGAATAGAATTTACTCAAGATCTAAATCAAGAACATCGGTTAAATAATAATTTTTCTCCATGATCATGCTACAATGTTACAATTTGACCTTTTAAAAAAGTATTGTATTTAAAGTCATTTGTGCACATTTCAGTATTGATGTACATATAGTAATTAAGGTTGACATTTTAAAACATCAGTATTATATAAATTGAAGACATATTTCAGAAAATTTCCAATACTGGTGGTAATAATAAATGTGTATTAATGATCACATGATAAAAATCAATGTTTGCTTTGAATGCAACTTTACCAAAAATGTTGGAATTTTGCACCATATGGCCAAGAATCAATCCAATACTATTAAAATAATATAGTATAAAAAAAATTACCACATTTATTTCAAAAGCATTTATATTGTCTGAATATACAATAAAGCATAGGAAATCTATTGTGCTGTTAACACAACTTCTTTCATCAGCATTTCCATTTTCGTTAATGTAAAATATACAATTTAAATTTCCGTACATAATATATACAACTTTTGTCATCATACTATCATCCTCATTATCAACATCATCATCATTATTATTATTATTGTTTTTTTATTTTTTTATTTTTTTATTTTTTTAAATTATGATAGGCCTATTTCTGCTATTTATTATATTGTATTTAAATGCCTTTTATGTTTATATTTATTAATGGGGCAGCTGACTCTCAATGAGTTATAGTAAAATTTTGCTTAAGCTGCCCCTGACCATAATTTTTGTTGTACTGTACCTTTTGTAAATGTGTATTGGTCGAATAAATAAATGAAATGAAATGAAATTATGATCATTGTCATCATCATCATCATCATCATCACGATGACGATGTCATGTTGTGGACAGACGAGAGTAGCTGGCATGAAGAAACCCTTAGCAGACATGAAATTTAACTGTAAGAGCTTGTGTACAATTCAAGCGTTTTGAGGTGTACCTGTAAAGCGCTGCATAAATCTACATTCATTATATCATCATCATTATCGTGACCATCATTATCAATAATATTACTGTAATATCATTCATAAGATTTCATTAGATTTGTCTTGTAGGAAGCGGTTTAAAGCGGGAACGTTTCCCAACCTCAAGGTTGGGGTTTCAATCACTCGCTGTGCATTTTGTTTGTGTCCTAGAGCACGGCACTTTATATAGCTTCTCTCACCCAGGATTATAAATGAGTACCTGGTGAGGTTGTCTGCTCCTGTGCTGATTGCCAGCAGAAACACTTAAAGCATGTTGACCTAATGACCAGGGAAAAGAACTGCGCTTTATAACCTCAAGGAAGAGGTGCATTATAAATGCCTATACCAGTACTAGTAAATGGTTATAGATAATTTCTTTTTGATTGAAATAAAGTAAATGTATAGCAGACTCTGCCCAACATTTCTAGCACCAAAGGATTGATTCAAGTATGTACTCACCTCTAACAATCACGTCAGCTCTCAGTTGTAAATGAGTACCTTCTCCTGCAAGTTGCACTCTAACCATGAGGGGGAGTGTCTGGTCTAAATGTGACTTCACTTTATATCTCATCAATTCAAACTTGCAGGCTTCTAGTGGGGCAAACTTGATCAAGTGGGAGTCGGTATACGCTTCCTCGTCAACGCAATAGTGGAATCTCACGTCCTCCAACTTAATCCATCTCTCGGTCTTACTTGGGATGATATCCTGCCGAGCAGTCACTTCCAAATCCTTTCTCTGGATATCATTTAATCCAAGCGCACAGTCCGGCATTCCTGATACAAACGCAATACAGTATATACTAACGGTCGTGGACTGTTTCTCCACGATGCCCTCACTACCAATTAAAGCCCGAAACTGATCCACCACATCAAATACAACGCACTCACTATGGTATTGTACTCCATGTTCTCTACAAATTTGTAGACTCATAAGAGAGTCATTTATGCACTGCGCAAAAGATTTTAACTCAACAATAGACGTTGACCCCAATTTCATAAGCTCATCAGCTTTTTTCATTTTTTCAAAAGGTGTCTTTGTACTGTACTTTCTCTTCTCTATGTAAGACATGTAAAAAAGGTATAGTTTATGGATTTTGCCCATACCATCAAAATGTTGTAAAGTGGGAACACTAATTTCATAGTTGGATTGTAGTTGAACTTCACTGAAGGGCTCGTGGGAGGATTCACTTTGAAAAAGCTGAATAACATTCCCATTCGTAATTTTAACATAAACAGACTTCCATCTCCGAGACCCTACCATCTTCTTATTTCCTGGATGCCTTAGCATCAGGTTCCATCCCAATTCTAAATCAACGCTTGGTAATGGATATTCATCTACAAATTCTTCCCCTGTCAAAGTATCGGGGTGTGTTGAAAATGGTTTACTGGCTGAAGTAGACACAGCACCCTGTGACTGTTGAAGTAGAGTTGCTCTACGTTCCATAGGCTGGTGAGTGTTCGTAACAGTACTGAGATCTCTGCCGACGCTCTTAGTTCCTTGCATTTTCGAAGCAATAAAGTTATCCCAATTGCTTTTCGACCCTGCCGACATTTGTGATGAAGCATAACCCTGTGAAGCACCACCAGATGTGGCTTTAATAGAACTGTCAGAAGAAGCAACTGGATATGGTTCTTGTCTTTGGTATGACTGTGTTATCTGTGTGTTTGCCATTTGAAATGGGTTTCCAACAGTTTTGACAACTGGCTGATCCTCACCAAAGGTTTCCCAATTCTGCGGCAGTGGGACATTCTGATGAACATGTTTAGCCGCGGCCTCATCTTCACTTACGAATGGATTATATGGTGAAGTTGGACGTTTATGAGCTACATTGGGATGTTCAAATAATGATGAATCTCTTTGTTTCTGGAGCTCTTCAGCAAATGGGTTTCCGCGAGAGGGAATATTCCTTTCTGGCATTACTCTAGTTGGAGTTCCCTCTTCAGAGGTTGATGTCAGTGATATCTCTCTGGATATTTGAGAACTGGTGGATTTTCCAGTTAATGATTGGTGTAAAGGGGATCTCAGGATTGTTGATCGTTTCTCATCTTCTTCAAATGCGACCCAGTTGGCAGGCATTGCTGTTGGAGTATCAGGTGTTCCTGTTCCTGAAGCTAGAGCTTGTGCAGTTGGCTTGGAAGTTCCGGTACGATCTGGTTGAGTGGAACGTGATAGTGGGTGATCAACAGGCTGTGAGCTATCCTCAAAAGTCACCCAGTTCTCTGGAACTGGAGACTTGGATGAATCGAGGCGAATGTAGTCGTGGGAAATGCTGTCATGTGGCTCAATGATGTCGGACTGCCGGTCATCCGTGACCCAGCTTCTCTCCGACGTTAAATCACTACTACGAATTGAAGAACCTGTTAATACCAAAAAAGAAATCTGTTTATATACCTTCATTAAAAATTTACAGTTTATAAAAGCTAGTGAAATTAAATCCAAATAATGAGAAAGATAGAATAAAGTACATACCAGAACATTATTTTTCCTGCAACAAGTCATGGGCCTTGTTTTCATACAATGATTTGCCTATCCTTCAGGCTATAGTTGAATTGAGCCCCACTAATCAACCACCTTGTCAAGGTAGGGTGGGCCCCACTGATATTTTGTACTCAAAATAATTTATGTATGTTTACAGTGACATCACAATATGACCTCCCATTAAACTTAACTTAAGTTTACAACATATCATAAGCATAGTCCGAGCATTGTTAAAAATGTAAAAAATAAATAAAAATGGAGGCTGGGGAGAGACAAGGTATGCCCTCATTCTTCCCAAATCCTCCTGGAGCCAGTAGAATCCATATGGCCTCACTGACCACTAATAAATTGATAGATACTAAACTTACATAAAGCTGCCTTTCAATAATTTTAATCCTTCAAGGCAGTGGACTATGCATGCATTTTCATTAATTATAAAGAGATAGTTTTATTCAAGGTCAAGGTTATATTGATGAACTCTCTTTAATCATACAAGGTTTCTAATCTGCCAAATTTGACAGGCTAATAATAATGGTAACAAATGTATTGAATTGCCTTATAATAAATTAGTAATAATAATGATAAGAGGAGGAATAACACAATAATATTTTGTTAATATTTCAGTAATTGATAATAATAACAACAATAATACCAATAATAATCATAAATAATAATTTTTAAATAATAAAAAACTACCAAAGGCAAATAAGAGTAGGGAACAAAATGTGCACTTGTCCCACCAACAAATGTGTTGGCCCACAAATCAGGGGTGGATTTGGAAAGTTTAAATAAAAAGAAAGTAAGAAAAAGAAATTATTGGTCGCCAAAAACTGCTCAGCGATTATTTCCGGGGCGTTTAGAAAACAAAAATTTCCTGGGGGCATGCCCAAACCAATACAGGGTAATGTTGTCTCTCGATCGCGCGCACATCCCCCCCCCCCACTTTCGGACATTTCTGGATCTGCCCCTGCAAATTCCTGTGTTTGCATGAGTTTATTCTGTCATTTTGTGGGAATTTAGCAGGTAGGGGGTGGGGTTTAGCAAAAAGGTCCATTATCTGGTACTAAATTTATACCTACACCGCTTGGAATATTCCCTCGGGAGTGGAGGATGTGATTTATGGTGTGTGATTCCAAAGATTGGGTGGTAATAATTATCTACACCTTGGATTACATCACTAGATATGAGTGCATAATAAATACTGGATTATAAATTAATATTACATTTGCTCTAACAGTTAATGTCAATGAAAATAGCAATACACATTCAAAATAATCACACCACAAGGCTTGTAATAACATAGATATTCTAAGGCTGTTATTAAGGTACAGCAGTATGATTTTATGTAGACAGGTATTTTCTCACATTTTGGTTTTTTTTTTTTACATTTACGATCAAGAATAATACAATACAATACACTATCTACCAACACTATAATAAACATTGGCAGTATTGATGATTATAAACATGATGGAGAACTGCGTTCCATTTCAATAAACCGTAACAATACATGGATAATGCTAAAACGTTGAAGTAATATTTCATATCTTTCAAGCCACCGGACAAAGGCAGCATTGATGTAAACATAATACCAAGACATTTTAGCCTAGTGATCAATGATTTATGTCTGCAACAGATCCACTGCAAAAACTCCCTGTCTCACTGTACGATAGCTATGTACAACAGAAATTAAATACACAAGGAACATCAATTATACCTTACCTAATCTTTTATACATGCTTATTTTCCTCTGCTAAGTTATCCTGGCAGAAGTACAGTAATCATGAACAGACTATGGATGACTGTCTACCCAGTTTTCTATTAATACCTGGAGAATTAAAGCCTGCTCCAGCAGAGGACGATGAGACGATGAATAATTGTAAGCTATCTGACGCACATGTTGGTATTGCATTAAATACTATCAAAGATAATCAGTGATGCAAATGAACTGTACATTGGGAATTTTTTTTTTCTAATGGCTCACGAATGAATGTGTGTGTGGTTCAAGAATTATCCAATAAAACACCATGTTATTAATTCATTTTAATTACCTACCATCTTATTCAATGAGTCAGCTGTGACCGTTAGGCCGATTTAATAAAGGTATTCCTTTCACTCTAAACATTGACTGAATTGGCTAATCAAATAATGAATAACTACGGTATACAGTACTTTACAATGATTAGAAACGAATGTTATACAGAGCGGAACTGTTATTATTTTATATATAGATCTGGATTAATTAGTACAAATCCATATTTTATCCGCTCTAAAACATTTGATGCTTACTATAAACACAGATCCAGCAAAAACTAGGTCACAATATGGTGTAGAGTCACAAGGATAAAATTTTCACAAGGGGAAAAATGCTACTAGAGAATAATGTTCACAAGGGGATAGTGGGCCAAAGGGGGAATAATGGGCCAAAAGGGGTGTGGCTACTGGTTTAGAATGACTGACATACAGTACAAGCAATATATATTAACTATAATGGCAGGGCAAAGGTAAGCATATGAAACATGTCTTCTCTCTCCTTTTTCTCCTTCATTTTTGAATCTCAAAAACAGGACTTTCATTAATTAAAATAGATTCTGAAATCCAACTCCCTTTAAATTTTGATTCAGCCACTTTTTAAATTAAATTTTAAGTCCTAATTTATAGTTTACATCCATGTACTGCAGTGGTGGCATCAGTGGGGACGGGCTGTTGGGGTTTGGCAATTTCCCCCTGTTGGAAAAGCATGGCCTCCACTGGTTGAAGGCCATCTGAGATTGTTGATTTAAAATTAATCAGTCTGTAATATAGTTCCTTGGTCTAAAATTAAAATGTTACCACCCTAAAACCCAATCTGCAACCAGTGGTATATTGAGAAGCTGTCTCTTATACACATCTAGATGTGTATAAGAGACAGTGGTGACTTTTAACTATTTGACCGTGATTTTGGGGTTGGGAAAAACTAGAGGTCACAAGTATTTTTTGGGGGACGTGCTTTCCCCGAGCACCCCCAGATACACCATGACCCACAACAAGCAAAATTTTCTCCCTTCCACACAAGGCATTTTACACATGAGCCCTGACCCTGACTACTTTTAAAGCAAAATTCAGAGAAACAATATTTCAGGGTGTGGATTGTAATATGAAAGCTATACAGCAATATAAAATTCACTTTTTTGAGTATCAAATAGTTAAGCAGGTGTTTGTGTAGTGATAAAATTAATAAAAATAATGAATTCATTGCGTCATCTACAAATTGTATAGCTTGATAAAAAAAAATTACATTACATATTAATATTTCACATCAAGACATATAGCACACAACCATTACAGTAACAATTAAACCCTTTCCGAGGTTTATTAAAATTGTATTATCACTTTCAGTGCTAAAGTACTGGCTTCCATAGTGGTTCAGTTTATACACAAATGAATTTTTATTTTATTTTACAAATAAACAAATTTTAATAATAAATTAATAATGATGTGGAAGGAAGTAAATATGCAAATATGAAACATATTAAAAATTAAAATATATTTTTACAAAATCAGTACTTAGTAGAAACTACTATTTTTTGTTGTAAAAAGTAGGTTATTGAGAAATCTTAAGGTTCACTTATATAAAAATATTCTTTCCCAAATTTGGTTAAAGGTCAAATATGTTATCGTAACCAGATACTAGCTATCAGATTATAAATATTAAGAGGTTAAAATCTGACACATATAATATTTTATCATTGTATTTTCATCTACATACTGGCACGATGTTAGATGTTTATTGCCCAAAAAGGTGTCAAAATATAAATTTGAATGAATTTTTCTTATTTGGAGAACTAATATAAGATGTTTAATACACTGAAGAAAAAGTGTCCTCTTAATAGGGGTTGATTATGTACCATATTGATTTGACCATTTGGCGTACTCAGAAAAACCCCTGCCCCCTTAATAGAGGTGTCCCTTTAATAGGCGTTGGCCAGAGTGTTAAAATATCCCTCTTCATTTCACAGAAGTGTTCCCTAATAGGGAGGATTTCTATTTAGCACTGTATTAATAACCGAAAGGTCCACTGATTAATCTCAGATAAGATAGTACATACTCCAAGTATCGAAATGCACACCATTGTGTCGGGATTCAATATTTTTGACATTAATTATGACATAATTAATGTCGAAATATTGAATGGCATGCATTTCGATACGTGGAGTATGTATTATACTATCTTATCTGTATTAATAACTCCATTGTATCAGTGAGTTCCAGAGTTTGGGCATGCTAACTGTAAATCACCTTTCACCAGAATGGTCAAAGGTCAAGTTAAAAATAGCAACCATGTGACTTAGGATGGTCAACATCTGCCACTATAAGATAAATCAAATGCCATGGCTTGATAGTTTACATGCACTTATTATTGATTTCTATGATATTAAATTACCACACAGCCAGAGGCTTGTGTTACATCACCATTTATAATAATACAAAACAACATGGAAATTAATTTCATTAATAAATTAAAGTATCAGACAACCGCTAGACGAGTTGTCTGCAGTAGGAAATGGATCACACACTGTTTTGGAATTGCTCTAAATGGGTTAAAACAATAATTATCTACCTGAATTTTTCCAATATTAGCATTCTAAATCATAATGATTGCTTTCTGGCGTTTCCAGGTGCCCTGTACTTATATTCGCAGTAATAAACAATAATAATAACTCTGGATTTATATAGCGCCTCACGTTGTCACAACCTCGAGGCGCTTAACAACAACAGAAAAAAAAATAAACCATGTACAAATATACCAAAAATTATTATCAAATATTTTGGGTTTTAGTTTAGTTTAATTAAGTTCAAATGATTGGTTTGCTGATTATCAATAAATATTATTACTGTATTACAATACTTTGGTAATTGGGATCATTTCAAGGCCTGTTACTTTCCTATTCATCCTAAAGCCTTACATTTTTCTTTGCCTTTTGCGTCTGGTTTCTTGTAGTACCAGTTCGTATTAATTAGACCAAGTCAAAACTTCCAAAGAAATTGTGGCTATCCCTATTAGTACTACACATATTGGTATATTAACACATTTAGGAACTTTTCTTTAAAGCAAACTCAAGGTTGTTCTAATTAGGTATTAAATATAATATGAAGTACAGTATCTATATCATTGTTTTTATTTAAACAATTACATGATAAAAAATTATCACAACACTAAAATTTCAGCAGTCCAAATCAGTACAAGTTTTGATCAAAAGCTGACCTTTGGATACAGGGTAATTAACTACTTTACTTGTTTATTATATTCAAATTTATTTATAATGCTAGTCTATAAAAGTATACCTGCTTCCAGGCTAGAGTTCTTTGATGCATAATGATAATCTGTAAATGGATAGTCATATAATACTATGATGATTATGATGATTAATGATGATTGATGATGTTGATTATGATAAAATGACAATGATGATAATGCTGATGATAAAAATGACTGCTAATCATCATGATGATAAAAGGATAACTACGCTAATGATGATGATAAAATGATGACTATGATGAAGATGATGATGGTAAAATAATGAATGATGATCATAATGAAGATGATGATGATGATGACGACAATGATGGTAAGGATGATAATGATGATCACCATCATTATCATACATTATCATAATGAGAATGATCAATGCTAATGATGATCTGATGATCAAAACAAAGATAATTATAATATCAATTTCAAAAACCAATAATTTTAAACATTGAAAGATGATAATTTGATAAAAAGTAATGATAATAATATAATTTTAATCAGATCTAATAAATATCATTATCGGGCTAGTGGTAGTACATGGAATACTCAAATATATACCAAGAAAGACAGTAGCAGTAGTTCAAGAAAGTATTCTACGCCATCTTATTTACTACAGTAAGTAACACCTTAGATAGACTAACGTAGGTTAATATATATTAATAAAGTCATCAAAGCATATTTTCATATGTGGGTGGATTTTATAATATGACTTTCACATCTTCATTAATTTACTTTCTTATATTTCGATATTGAAAAACCACAGCATTAGCTAAATTAAATTGATGTTTTTATATTACAAGATTTTGATCAAACTAAAAAAATAAATTTAATGAAGAATATAATCAGCTGCACATTCGCATCAGAATATATAAAAAAAATTAATTTTTGTAACACAGAATATTAACATGTGTGTAAAATACATACAATTGTAAAAAAAATCACCTCATTGTTACAATGGAATTTTGCATATTAAAATTAGATGAATTCAAACTGTAGAATGTGGGTGATAAATGGGACAATGCTTTTATACAATATTTATGGATACATGGAAAGAATATATTAATGTGAAACACATTCATTCTACCTAGTATTATAGACCCCTAGTATATAGCGTTCAGCCGATATAGTATAAACTACTATTTTTCCTAACGCTCGACCTAACATCGTCCTCTACAGATTGGGATTTTGTTAATTTCTCTATTAAATCAATATATTGCTGGTGAAAGAATGGTCGTACTTGTAGGCCTTGGCTGGCTAGCGTCATTCCTACCTAGGCCTAGCCTACGAAACGACAAGGCGAGATAGACAAGACAATTGTACACAAATCGTACGTACTGCATGCCTATTAGAAATAGTTATTGTACAAACAAATCTGTTTTATGAACCACCAATTTCCTTGGTTTGACCACGTACATGAAATTTAGTGTCTGCTATAGCCTGTTTCAGTAAAAGTTTTTGACTTTCCAAGCAGTTTTTGAAGCAAAGAAATCTAGGCCTAGGTCGGTAAAAAATTGCCATCCTGTAGCAATTCTGGCTCAGCAATATGGTCGGCAATTGCCGATTGCCGACGTGAAATTCGTGGGCTGAGCGTTACTAAATTTGTTGTACTTTAGTGTAGCAGTAGTTGCAGATCCCGAGGGTGGCAACAAGGCCGCACCTCACCCACCCCCTTTCCCTCCTCATCCTCGGGTAGCAGCCAAAAAATCATTAACCAAACATGAAAATCAATTAAATAATAAATAAATAATAGATGGATTTATATAGCGCAAATAAACAAGGTCTCTATGCGCTCAGGACTAGATGTTGCACTTTTCAATTAACTTTCTTCTCCCCTGATGAGAAATTTATTAGATAAGGAATTAGATGAATCTCTGATGCTTTTAGAAGGTATAGCCCCTGGATCCCATCAACAGGCAAGGCAACACCCCAAATATTTTGTCTTTTGACTCCTTTAGACCTTAGGCCCTCGACTGGTCGTAGGTTATCCATCTCATTACAAATATTATACAGTGATGGATAGTGCATTAAACCAATTGTAAAGAATTGGTACCCTCCTAAACACTATCAGAGACCTCAATATTTAATTTTTGATTATAAAACTCTACCATGTGCATGGCTCCCTCTTCAGTCTCCTAATCATTCAATCAATAATGTCTCATAAAAGTAGAAGTTTTATGATGGCCTGATCAACCTACCTGTGTATTGTATCGGTATATAGGGTCTGCCAGGCCTTTGCGGCTCATCAAACTGCACCCAATTGAAATTCAAGAATACAAAAAACAAGTTCTAGTGGTGCTGCTTGAATATTTTGAAGATTTTAACTGGTACAAAACCAGGCCAAGGCTAAAAATACATACAACAGACATACTCCAAAATCCTGTCAAGTAACTCTTAAGCTTTTTAATTTTTGGTTTTCTTGTTGTGCAATGATGTGTGCGTGTGTGTGATTTTTTAAGTGTGGATAGGGCCTAAGCTAAGCTCTACCTAGCTAAGTGGACCTAGATGTCAGACTTATCAAGTCCCAGGCATTTGGCGTGAGACTCACACATTTGGGGTCTGCCTCATGCTCTCATAGTTAAGGAACAAAATCTCAAGCATTTTATGTAATTATAAAAATATGTATACTATTTGTGACCTTTGTAGCCCTTTACTAGTACTTACTAAAAAAATTCTCCATTTACAGTTTTAAAAATATCATAGAAACATCATGTACCATATATTCTTGCATAAGACAAGGCTTTAAATAGAAATTACAACGATAAAAAAAAATAGGGGTCGTCTTATACGAGCAACACATACACATTTTTCATTAAATCATGTTCATCTTATGTGCAGATCATCCTTAACATGTGAATTTACTACTAAAATGAGGCTAATAACTGTTAGTATGAATTAACGCAATTTTAAATGCAGGGAAATAAGATTTTGATGAACACTGAAAAACCCATAAACTGGTTTTACAGTATATGAATGATTTGACTAACATTTGGCTCCGTTTTTAACCAGCTAGATGCAGTATCAAGACCATAAGAGCAGGAAAATGTAGGAATTACAACAGTAAACCAGGGGGGTTGTCATATATGCCCGACATACAAAAATAATAAAAAAACATTCTCAAACTCAGGGTCGTCTTTTACGCGGATTACCTTGTACGTGAGAATATATGGTATGTCAACTAGCTGCAATAAAAACACAGTGAATACAATATGTCATTTTATAAAGCGCTGTCATATAAGATCAGGAAATAAAATGCAGATCCTGAAGGCATGTTTGAAGGAAGCATTTAGGAAATAAAATTTCCTGGAGGGAGAAAATCAAAACCATACCCCTAGGCCTAGCAAGGAGGCGGAATTTTCAGTCTCAACCTAGGCCCAGTACCTAGCCTAGGCCAATGCCCCTTGTTATTTTATGTTATTTTTTTTTATCATTTTTCCATTCAAAGATTACAGTAGGTCTATTATACCATATACCTATAAAAACGTCTGCACCCGTGTCTTCAGCTGTTCTTCATTGAATCAATAATAAAGACCGTTCCAGGGGCCTCTGCGTAGCGTATGGAGGCAGTCCTATGCTTAGTTCGGAGAGTATGACTCACCCACACCAGACGAAAAGGGATTTTCTCCTTGAGTAGAATTGAATCGCTGCATTTAAGGAATGGCTTAGAAATTCAAAATCTTCTAACTTCACTTTCGACAACTTCAAATAAGTTGGAACAGCTAGAACCGTATCTCCGGGTTTAACATAACACTATAGGATGGTTTGCCAACCATTACAAAAGTTAAAAATAAGTTTTCCAGCATGTAACTAATGTAAAATTTGGTCTATGATCACACTTCTGTGTGTGGCGGTGGCTACGATGTTTACTATCCCCAAACGTAACTTCCTGTCCAAGATGATGAGCACATCCATTCCAAATTCGTTGCATGTTACAATGTATTATAAAAAATAATTAATCCGAAACTTATTAACATGCTTAAATATTTAAGATTTTATCAGCATAAATTATACTTTATACCAATTATATATTGCTCTATAAACATGTTTTATCTGTGATCCATATAAAATTAACGTTTAATACGAAACAACCTTTCTAAATAATGGGATAGCCTAGAATGTGGTCCTTAAACTTTCATCATTTTGTTATTGTTGGTGGGGGCGTTACCACCATTATGCAACCGGTCAAAGTAAATCGAAACATTGGCAGTGTATTCATTTACCGGCTGTGTAATTGTCGATAAGCGTCCTCCCTGGGAGCTCGTCTAGGCTAAGCCTACTTCTAGTGTTTTGGTTGCAAATAATTATGTGGAAATAGCATGATGTTGTTATGTTTATGACGATGATGGGCAAACACATAACCTGAAGAAACTTGAGTTTAAGGGCACTCATGGGCCCACGCTAACTCGTCCATTCCACAAGTAAGTAAATATTGAATATATAGTAAATCCAATAAATTATAATTTAATATCATTAATAAATTAAATCATTTATATCATGTTATTTGACCAGTTTTTGGATGAGGGAATGTGTAATTGTAAATACAGTTTTGAGTTCTATTCCGGTATAAAAATAGAACTTATACTCCTATTACATAAAATATGACTGTCTGGAAATCCTCAAAAAGTCAATTGTCATTTTATCAATTGCAAGTTAACACAATCAAATTTAAATCCAATGTCAATTTTGGTATTTATTTCAATCAGTCATCTCATCATGGAATATACTGTAAAATACATAATATATTACTTTTGTCTTTAACCAAGCTCTTGATTGAAAGATATGGAGGAAACAGAAGATAAATTAAAAAGTTATAATTTCCACCTAATTTTATCGATGAATAAATAGTTTTCTATGCCTTTATAAATCAAAAATCATTTATAGTCAAAATATACTAGAATTTTTTTTATTATGTATAATTTTTTTTATATATATATCCTTATATATGTTTTTTTTTTATTCAAGTTAGCTGCTCAACACACAGCCAAATGCCTATCTTTAAAAATTGTAATTTCAATGCAATGCAAGCTTTTCATTCATTCATTTAAATAAACATTTAATTTCATCAAAATTAACTAATTACAATATAAGCAATACCATGATTTTTGTAGAAGGCATAGCAAAAAAAATGCTAATGTGTGCGGCAAGCCCGAAAGATTTTTTTAAAGTACAATCATAATAAATAATAACAGCAGATTCAGAAACATAATCATAATAATATTTTAAGAAAATATGATATTTTAAAACCAAAGTACACAAGAGACTGCTATTTATGTCATCATCAAGTAGTGCCAGACTCAGTCATTTTATTTTTCCACAATTTCTCATATTTAGCCATTTTTTGATATTATCAAACCCCATCTTCCTTAGTCTTCCTATGCATGCTTCCCCTTCTATCTTCCCTTCTAGAATATTACATTAACGTTCCACTCGATCCTTGCAGTATATGTTTTGCAAACCAAATGAAACCATAAAGTTATTTGTACCAGTCATTAATCATGTTAATATTTCAGAATGAATGACCTTTTCAGAAATATGTATGTTAATTTACAGATATAATGAATGCAAACATAATTCTTCCGTGTAAATATCCATATAAAAATTATAAACCACAATGTAAATAAATCTGGCCAATTGCAAACAAATTATCTCTTTGGTAAACATCATAATGTCCAGACACACCCATTCAACCCACTCTTAGCTTACACTTCCAACAGAAAGTTAAAACACAAACAAATTGTTGTCCAAAGTTCAAGTACAGATTAACAGGCAAGCTTTGAATGCAGTTCTTTAAATTATTAGACAATGCTTAAAAACAAACCCATAGAATTAAATTTTTCTCTTTGCCAGTAAACCAGGGTATTGTACAATACAATGTAGAAGCATTGGCAGTATGCAGTGCTATACACAACTGACCAACATATTATTGTAAACAATATGATTTCTTTTCATATACAGGGTAAGCTTGTAGCCGGTTCTGTAGAGAGATACGTTACTTATTTCGGAGAATGGGATGTTTAAAACAAGTAACCGTGGAACCTGTTCTGTTTCTGTTTATGACCAGTTTGATGATGCAAGTACCGGTCACTCAACTGCTCCTTCTAAAGAAAGTCTGCCTATCACACCATGACGAGAGTATGTGTCAGGAACTCATTGAACATCCGCAACTGGAGAACCAGGTGCAGTCAGAGGCATCGCATTGGATCTTAAAGTTAAACTTAGCAATGAACATTCCTGGAGCTATTATGTCCACCATTTTAGGAGCGGCAAGTGACAAAGTAGGACGTAGGACTGTTATTGCAATTCCCTTGATTGGCGCGTGTTTAGCCTCCGTTAATTTCGTGATCAATGCCTTTTATATGGATCTGCCTATACGCTACTTATTGATAAGCAGTTTGTCTTTGGGGTTTTGTGGAGGAATAGGAACATGTTACGTTGCATTGGCTAGCTATATTACAGATATCACCGACAGTTCAAATAGGACAAAGCGTTTTGGTCTTTTGGAATCCATGATGTTTCTTGGGGGAACAACTGGCTTGTTTCTAGCAGGGTCAATAGCTCAAAGAATTGGTATATCTGCTGTGTATGGATGCTGTTTTTTATTGAATTTAACCGCAATTGGCTACGTTGCATCTATACTACCCGAATCGCTTTCAACAAAACAGAGACTTTCATCGAAGCTGGAAGACGCAATGGCTAAACGTCGAGGATGGATGTCAGGTTTGGGGTTCAGCGTCTGGGAGAACATGAAGAAAACGTTTATGGTTTGTTTCATGGAGAGAGACAATAAAAAACGGAAGTGGCTACTATTACTACAAGTCATCGCAATGTTGCATATGTTGGCTCTTTCCGGTTTGTATTGTTGTCAATTCTCACTCAATTATTGTTCAGACTCCGAGCAATATTGATTAACACACCTGTTGCTGATGGTCGCATCAATAATGTAAACATAACCTCCACCTTGTTGACACTATAACCTTTATATTGTTCACACATGTCCCTGTGCTTGAAACTGTCACTGTAAATATTCACCGAGAATGAATGAACTTGGTTCATATTAATATTAGACATTCAACTACACAATGTAATTTATCATATATATTATCATATATTACCATATTATCTTTTATAAAGCATGTTTGTTCAATAATTTTCTTCCCTTTCATGCTCTGCATATATATGTTAAATAAGTTATATTTCCATTTGTGTATAACATAATAACATGTTTAAAATTACATATAATTGGCATGGATATTCAATCTTTATACAAAATATTATCATAAACAAATATTAAATTTTTAGTTATATAAAAACCTGTATACTAAATAATATCAAGTAAGATATCATATACAATATACAATTTAGTGTAATATTAGGTTGTGTAGCAGTAATTTTAGTGCTCAGCACATTTGGAAAGGGGGGGGGGGGGTTGCACACTACTCCGTAGACATGGCTACTGCTATTAGTAGAACATATAGGTTTACCAAGAGAAAAATATTCAGATGTTGTTTATATATTTCTACCTTCTTTCTACTCTAATAGGTGATATGGAATTGACTGTGCTATATACTAAACACACCCCCCTGAGTTGGTCACCGTTTACCATTGCAATATATATGGCTCTTCGCAACATCACAAGGGCAGTAGTATTGTTAATAGCAATGCCATTACTCTTCCATATCAAGAATCTAAGAACACAAAACAATGATTTTAACCTGACTATAGTGGGCCTTGTTTCCAATATGGTTGGCTATATCATGATTGCAATGGCCAAGACAACTTTGGTAATGATGCTTGGTAAGAAAAAATTTATTCAAATTTAAATAATTACTTATAATTGAAATACATTTGTCTAGCATAATGGTAAATATTTGATCTCTAAGTAAACACCAGCAGTGATTCTGTCAACAAACCACAATGACGCCCACATGCTTTTCAAAGAAGACGGCTACAACAGTAACAACCATGCCTGGTGCAGCACATATAGTTAAAGTCGACTTTGCCTAACTCAAATAATTTCTAAGTCGCTCTTATTTTATATACCAAATTGTTGTGTTTTGCATTAATTTTCTGCAAGTCAAATTTTATGCAAGTCATTATTTTGGATTTGTTCAACTGTATTCGAAAACAGCACGTATTTGATAGAGAAACTGAATTGAACATAGAGTAAAACTGGTATTACTAATGTTAGCAAATTGTAGTTTCATAATCATAATGTTTTATCAAGTTTTAACAACACAAATATATTTGATTATGATACAAATTCTGATAATATACTTCATTTTGTCAGGTTTCTTCTATTCTATACTCATTATATATTCATTTATATTTAAAAACATATGTTTTTATTACATTTTATGTGATGTATATTTGTTGTTTTATAATGCGAAAAGTGTAATGAACAATATTCCTTTGGGAAATATAACAGGGTGATAACATTATTTTAAACATTAAATTGACAACTAACGTCATTTAGGATCTTGTTGATTAACAAACATCAGACATCCGTTTACAAACCAGGTATTAAATGAAATCATATGCACATATTACTAATATTGTATGTTTCTTTTTCCTGTAAAATTAGACATTTTTATTTATATTTATCTCTTTTTTGTGAATTTTAACATTTTATCTGTATGTATGCCACTTCTTTTAGAAAGGTGCCTTATAATTGTCAAATTATATATATATATGTTGTGATGTGATTATATAAAATTTATAAATGGCCTGTGTTTAAACCTTTACATTCAATCAAAATACTTTATCACATAAAAGTATCCAAAAAAAATTTCTTTCAATGTTTTTTATATAGACTGCAACAATTCAGCTTTCACTATTCTTTACAAAGATGTTAATAACTGACTTAAATGCAGTATGCAAAGTAGGCATTGCCAATATATAATTTTATTTTTTATTTGCTCACCATAAGCCCTAGAGATATTTACACAAATATCATATTTTGATATCAACAAACTGTGATAACATTTACAGTATCATCCAAGTTGGAAAATGAACATTATGTTCAAATCTAAGCTTTCCTATCACTGCCTGTTAATATAAGATCTATACATATCTATCACTCCTAGACAAGTTATTTACTTCTAGAAGGGATCCCAGATAATAATGATTTGATCTATTTCTCTCATCATTGTCATTACCAATTTTTTTTTTTTTTATTTCAATTTCATTCATTCATTATTATCTGAATAAATATATCTCAATACACTCACTTGCTTGATATATTGCTTTTGAATAACAGAAAATACAATAGCATAAATATTAATGACCATATTTCATGTGATTTCACCATATAAATGGGCTTCACCAGATGTAGTATATGTTGTATGCAAGTTACTTTTAATGACAGCATATTGGTGAAATCTATGCTTAAATAACAAATAATTTATTAACGTAAAAAGCTTTGTATTTTTACCACATATTGTACAAATCTATGTATGCTTTCTTTATCACAGCATAAGTATGTTAGTATGAAATAATCAAAGGTCACCCTTTTTTGTTTTTCTCCATTTTTAAGTGCCACTTGTAAGTAGCTTGGCTGGAATCGCTGGTGCTGTTTTGGGGTCACTCAAGTCAAAGCTTGTGGAGCCAGATGAAATGGGTAATAATAATAATAAAGTGATAGTTACATAAGTACATTGATACTGTCAGCTGGTGCCGCTAGGTATTGTTGAGGCTATGCGCCTCCCCCAGAGGGGCTGTCAATTAATCACAAGATATAAGCCTGGTTCTCACGAGAGCCCTAGTATCCGGATCGGGAACTAACCGTTAGCGCTAACCGTTAGCACCTGCGTGAGAACGCCCGATCGGTTAGCGCTAACCGTTAGCGTTATCCGGATACCGCTATCGGTTAGCAAGTGAGCACGTTTCTATCATCAACCAATCACATGTACGTGTTTACAATTTCCAGTTTCTTACTGGCTAGTGATTCGATCATCATATTCTTGGTATCCGAATCAGGATTTTCTCGTATGGACGAACAGCAGCTAACGGTTAGCTGGATCCGAATTTAACATTTAGCGACAACACACTGGTTTTAATTGTGATGGCAAGCCTCGTATAAACTAACACTGTAAAACTTATGATTGAAGCACCATTGGTCACTATATTCATTTAATCAGTTATTAGGGTACTGGGCTACTATATAGAACTGAGATTACCTAGCATATACATTATGTATCGAAAAATAATAATCCATGCATGCTTCTTGTATATCAGCAATTCACACAAATAAGCTACAGTTGATTTTTGAAAATTCATGACCATATTGTGTGCAGAATATATCATTCAAGGCTATTACATTTATTTAGCCTGTAATTAACGATAGTCATGACAATAGGCATACCAAAATCTGTACATGTTATAGTATTAATGAAAGAATTCCTCCTTTATGCTTATAGATGTAATCTAAACCATGTTTGTTCATCCATAGACTAAACACGAAGACAAGTCGATATGGCTTGTGCTGCTCTTTTATGTCAGATTTTTGTTATACAACCTAACACCATCTTTCATACTTATGTGAATTAATACACACTTGATTACACTTGAGATATGTATCATAATAAATACCTTATCCATTACCATATTGACTGCTGGGATCAACATAGCAGTCAATATTTATTGTATGAGCGTACACTTAGTGGGTGGTACCAATATTGGTTCTGTAGCTAAATGTAATACTCCTATTGCTAAATGTAATTACTTTCTGTAATGATCGTATTCCCCTAAGGGGAAAGTAAGGCTAATTTCCATTTCGTTAATTGTGCAGTCAACTAGCATGAACAAAATGATAAATTTAGGAAGAAAAACTGAGCAATTTTGGTTTATTTGGAACTGTTCTGTTGAAATAATGTTTTTTTTTTAATGGCACTTTTTTTTGTTTGGATTAGTTGTGGCCAATGAGATACTGCCCAACCACTTTACATCTTCTTCTCAAGTCACTACGTAGCTAGTGTGCATATGATCTTTCTTACGTAGTGTGGTAGAAGGATTTGCAGGTAGGATACCCGACATGGGCCGCGACGTAACGCTCCTTCTGTGGCCAGACAGGGGGCTCAAATGGACCAGTACACCGGGGTAACCCCCAACTCTTCTCATAGAATGTACTGAGTTTTTTAAGGTGCACACAAGCCAATTGTGTACACTGAACCTACAGTTTAGATTCTTCTCCGAGAAGACTTGTTCCACCACCAGAACCATAGGCAAGTGTGCCTATTATGGCTGTATGTCAAGGTTCCCCTGTCTTAACCACTCAACTCGCCTAGTACTCTACATGACCTGAGCTGAAAGCAGTTTGGGTTCAGATAATAAAGAAAAAAAAAATCTGAAAAACCAAAAAATGCTCAATCTTTTGAGACAATGAGTAAATAATTGTCATATGTTCTATCTTCAGGAGCGATGTTTGCCTTCACCTCCCTCATTGAGACAATGTGTCATCTCTGCGGATCCATTCTTTTCAACAACTTGTACCCTGTGACCTTGGAGTACATGCCTGGATTTTCATTCCTCATCATGGCTGTTCTAATCTTTATAATTCTGTGTATTGTAATGTAAGTAGAAAACTTTTACCAACTGTACAATGTTTAGGTTCAAAAATCGATGGACAAGAATGGTGGTGTTCATATGGAAGGGTGCACCTGTTTTGATTTTTAGAATATAATTCAACATTTTATGACAAAACACTCAAAAGTAGCTGTTGAAATCATTTTAATTGCAATTTTTGGATGCAATTACGAGATATTCGTATAATTACAGAACATTGCTTAGTGCACCACAATTAAAGCTCTGTGTATACACACTATGAATTTTAAAGTGACAAATTTGAGATTTATCCATATATGGGCATGATGAGGTCATACCATGTCACACCCAAGCATAGGCAAATCGCAGGTATTTGTCACGTAAGACATGATACAAATAGATAGAGCTTACTGTTAACTTTTTTGCATTTTTTATATATTCCACATACCATTGTAGTACATATTTTTTCCTTTTGTCCTACAACATTTAGTAACTTGTACTCAACATAATAATAAAATAATAATAATATGTCATTTTTATATAGCGCTTCATGCCTTTACAAGGCCTCTAAGCGGTTCACATTACTACCCCGGTCATTGGATCAAACACATATGGAACACATTGAAACTAAATTAAATTAGTAAATGAAATTATATTATCATTCCATAAATTTCAGCTAGTAATCAGCGCAGGTTATGTTGGAACTTACCAGGTACCCACTTGTACTCCTGGGTGGAGAGAGGCAACCGTAGATAAAGTGCCTTGCCCAAGGACACAAGCGATTTGCACAGCCAGAGTTTCGAACCCCCGACCTCAAGGTTGGGAGTCAAAGCCACAACCGGTGCGCCAACCCCTCCTACACCATTGCACTTGTTATAATAATGAACTTCTGTTGAACCCACAGGTACTTTAAGTGGGATTATGAAGACACAATCTTGTTCTCTAAGGTCATGACAAATGGTAAGTTTTTAATTATTTATAGATTTTTTTAAAACTGCATCATTGTGAATTAACAATGTGGCCATGCTATTGTGACCCCAAAACATGTCATTGTGATACCATCCTTGCAATGGTGCAGTTGTGACCAGGTCATAGTGACCACTCTATTCAAAATGTTAAATTAAGAATAAATTGATATTAATTTTTTTTAAAGTCACAAAATTTGTTATGAATTTCAGGAGAGCAATCGGATAACCTTCTCGCTTGCGTTAATTCTGATGAGGAAGTTGAAATGAACGATATGAATCCAATTGAAGCTCAAGATTATGCAGTTACAGAGCCCACGTGATGATGTCACACACAGGTACACAGCCCACGTAATGATGTCATACACAGTTACAGAGCCCACGTGATGATGTCATACACAGTTACAGAGCCATCATGATGCCTGACATAGGGAAAAACTGAATTTTGATTTGTTTTGGCATGCCGACCTACAGCGGCATCTACGCAAAGTTGATAAGCAATGATGAGCTATTAGTAACCAAACTGTTGTTTGAATTTGTATTATGTGATACCTAAATCATGTAAAGCAACACAGTGCAGTTGTTTAAAACTGGTGGTAGCTGCTGCATGTGCGTAGACCCATGAAAATCTTTGTCTTCTGTGTGCACTAATGATGGAGACCTTTTTTCCCCCGGTTCTACTCTATCAAGACACTCTGAAATGCTGGTGATAGTGCACTATATGAAGAGACAAGCTGATGGGTCCTGAGTTCAATATAGCCTATGTGCGTATTAACGAATGCATAGACTCTTTGATGAAGAGCAGGGGAATGGGGGGAATTGTCTCCAGGCGTACTGATTTTATTCAGCACCAAGTGATGCTGCCATGGGTCTGTGGGACCTAGCTCACATTTTCTAATTACTCAACTGATAACAATAAGTTAATATATTATTATAATTGAATGTATCATTCATATATTAAATATACCAACCCAGGATTTTGAGGGGGAAAAAACTAAATAGAGGGCAGGACTTCACTAAGACAGTTTTAAATATGTATCCCAAACCCCTTCATAAATATGTAAATGTAAATAATAAATTACTAAAGATATCACTTCATAATTCTGCTGTCAAAGAGACAGATATGATGAATGCATAACCTCCTTTTAAGTTATTAAATGCGCAACCATAGAACCACCTAGATGATATACTACTTTTGAAATATTGATTTTTATCATATAAATATAATTTCAATGACAATTTTATAGGATTATTTATTTCATTGATTTATGTTGAATTCAAGTTTACCACAAGTACATTACATTATGTTATGTACGTATGCATATAACATAAAGTTGATTTCCAGTGAAATGCGGGACATTCCATTATGAACATGGAGTGGGATCACTATATTACTCTGAACTAATGAATTCGCAGATACTATGTTTGTAGTCAACTTTGTGAAAGAAATATATTTTTTGAGGACAACATTAAATTAAATATGAATTTCAACAGAAAAGTTGTCTGTCATGTGTTGCACAGCACAAGCAAACAACAGATCTGAAAGGGGAAAAAATTGTTATAGAAATTACAGATCAATTGAGCCAAAGCAGAAGCAGTCATTGGAAAGATACGTTCCAAATCAGTGTCATTAGTAATTTGCAGTAGAAACTTCAATTCATCAAACTGTACTCCATTTCATTATTCTATTATGTTTTTTTATTTTCATTTTTATAATCGTCATATTCTTTGATGGTATGATGTGATATAAAGCATTTTTCTTCATCACCCTGATCACATGACATGTGGCAAGCACAATCTCCTCCACTTTTGAGTCTCCTATGCGTGCATAAAATTTGTAAGCCCAGGCTAAAATTTAAATTACTCAGTAAATATGAAAAATAATAGCGTTCAGTGCATGCCATACCAAAATTTAATACGCTTTCCTATTTCAAACTCTACTTCTATTTGAACAAACACCCCAGGGCATTTATTCTTGAGAATGGGGGCTGTTTATTCGAGGGAGGCGTTTATTTTTTTTGTGTAAAATTGATATGTACATACTCAAATAAATGCCCTTTCATTTCACTGTAAGTGTGGTACTACAACACGTTATTACCAGGGGCAGATCCAGAAATGTCCAAAAAGGGGGGCCAGAAGGGGGGCCGAAAGTTGGGCCGATTGAGACAACAGTGTCGTAGGAGGTCCGGGGCATTCCCCCGCGAATTTTTTTGTGTTCTAGACGCCCGAACATAATATTTGAGGCATTCTGGGCTATCATTTTTTTCTTTTTCTCTCTTTTTTTTTTTTCTTTTTTTTTTTTTTTTTTTCCCTCCCAAAATGGGGGAGCCGGGGCCGGGCCGCCCCCCCCCCCCTGATTACTGTCAAAAATGTTATTGCATAATCATGAAGACTTATTGATCAAAACAACCAGGTTAGCAAAAATGTAATTTTTCAGCAGTACAACATTAATAGAATGTGTTGAGAATGACGTTGCTTCCATTAGACGTTTAGGGGGTGTTTATTCTAAATGAGTCTCTAGAGGGGGCGTCTAATATTTAAATAAATATAGTAAATTGTTGACAGTCAGCACTATCCCATAGGAATTACTGTAACAACAAGAAACTTGTGGAAAGTCTAAAACATACTGTAGTAACACCAACATGCATTCATCATTCACCACATACCATGTATATACACATTAGGCAAATGAGAAGGGATTTGAACTTTGACCGCACGGTTGAATGACTGAATAACATACTGTAGTAACACTAACATGCATTCATCATTCACCACATACCATGTATATACACATTAGGCAAATGAGAAGGGATTTGAACTTTGACCGCATGGTTGAATGACTGAATAACATACTGTAGTAACACCAACATGCATTTCATTATTCACCACATACCATGTATATACACATTAGGTACGAGAAGGGATTTGAACCTTGACCGCATGGTTGAATGACTGAATAGCATACTGTAGTAACACCAACATGCATTCATCATTCACCACATACCATGTATATACACATTAGGTAAATGAGAAGGGATTTGAACTTTGACCGCATGGTTAAATGACTGAATAACATACTGTAGTAACACCAACATGCATTCATCATTCACCACATACCATGTATATACACATTAGGCAAATGAGAAGGGATTTGAACTTTGACCGCATGGTTGAATGACTGAATAACATACTGTAGTAACACCAACATGCATTTCATCATTCACCACATACCATGTATATACACAATAGGCAAATGAGAAGGGATTTGAACTTTGACCGCATGGTTGAATGACTGAATAACATACTGTAGTAACACCAACATGCATTTCATCATTCACCACATACCATGTATATACACATTAGGCAAATGAGAAGGGATTTGAACTTTGACCGCATGGTTGAATGACTGAATAACGTACTGTAGTAACACCAACATGTATTCATCATTTACCACATACCATGTATATACACAATAGGCAAATGAGAAGGGATTTGAACTTTGACCGCATGGTTGAATGACTGAATAACATACTGTAGTAACACCAACATGCATTTCATCATTCACGTCCACATACCATGTATATACACATTAGGCTTATACGCATCTAGATGTGTATAAGAGACAGGGTCATGACAAATGGTAAGTTTTTAATTATTTATAGATTTTTTTAAAACTGCATCATTGTGAATTAACAATGTGGCCATGCTATTGTGACCCCAAAACATGTCATTGTGATACCATCCTTGCAATGGTGCAGTTGTGACCAGGTCATAGTGACCACTCTATTCAAAATGTTAAATTAAGAATAAATTGATATTAATTTTTTTTAAAGTCACAAAATTTGTTATGAATTTCAGGAGAGCAATCGGATAACCTTCTCGCTTGCGTTAATTCTGATGAGGAAGTTGAAATGAACGATATGAATCCAATTGAAGCTCAAGATTATGCAGTTACAGAGCCCACGTGATGATGTCACACACAGGTACACAGCCCACGTAATGATGTCATACACAGTTACAGAGCCCACGTGATGATGTCA